TGGGCCTACAACAAAGTCTTGTCGCCAGGGCCAAGGAGGCAGTGAAGGCCAGAAGTTTCCTGGAATGAGGATACATCTCGCCTGTATAGGCGAAGCGGGACTTGCATCGCGAAGTTGCGAAGTAAACGTTTATTCATCCTCCTTCACTAAGTCGTGGAAGGCTTATATGTAACATTATCCTTTACAGCGTATGTTGTGCAATGAATCACGTTAACCTATATGCGTAATATACCGTGGCGGAAAACAATAATCAGTCATCACACAATACTGATTGCGCAACGAGCGCGTGATTTACAGCCACTGCAAAATGTACCGGCAAAATCTTTCATCGTCATCGCCTAAACGCAGCGTCAACAAGGTGCACATAACATACCTTACAGATGTGTAGTGGGTATACGTCGCTTAATCGCATACAGACAAATAATGGCGTAGTCGACGCTGTACTTCCTAAAAACAATGATTTATGACACAGATACCTTGCGGAAAGCGGAAACATCAAACGCAGTTGGCGTTATCACAACACTGAAGTATAGTAATTGTACTCTATTTTGAAATAAATTCAATTGCATGAAAAAGCACCCATTTTGTCGGTAAGACTCTATAGCCCACAGCCTTATAGTTACGGCTACGAGTTCGGCTAGCCATCACACCCAGGGATCGAACTCGCATAAATAACCAACCAAGTTGAGCCGAGAGTGTCTTCCGTCGAGGCTTCATCAGAACAACAGACACGTAGTTGTAAAGTAGTGGGTTCACATCCCACCGACATCCGCATCCTAATCCCTTTTAAAGAATGTTGGTCAACAAAGTTTCTGTGTAAAATTCTGTTTTAAAATAAATCTTTGGGTTTGACAAGCCAAAATTTTACGCGCCGAAACAATGCAGAACGAGCTACCCAACCCCCGTGCGCATGTCTGTGGTTTTGGTACAAAACAACTATGAGAAAAGATGATCTTGGAACCTTGGCTCATGGTTTCGGTCGTGTACAGGGTCACGAAGTCCCGTTCGTGCGACTGGAAAACGACTGGATTTCACGGGCGCCTGTGAACTACCAGCACGAGTTCGTGTTCTGTGTTCAAACTCACTACTAATCCTTCGCTTTCGTGTCCTTTCTTCTCTGTCCTTTCTATTATTCTTCCTTTCTCCGCGTGTATAGGGCAGCCAACCGAGGCAAAGCTTGGTTAATCTCACTGACTTCTTCGTTTCTCTATCTCTGGGGTTCGAGCTAAAATTATGTTGATATCCGCTAACTGAAGATGCTTGAAAAGAAACTACGAGTGTTACTTAGCCCTAAATTTTTCGCGTTTCACTCTGTTAGTTCTAACGTTTAGGCGCATGGTCGAAAATTTATTTCGCGGATATTCCAATAAGCAATGCCCGTGTACTCAGATTTGGGTGCACGTTAAAGAACCCCAGGTGGTCTAAATTTCCGGAGCCCTCCACTACGGCGTCTCTCATAATCATATGGTGGTTTTGGGACGTTAAACCCCACAAATCAATCAATCCAATAAGCAATGTATCTCATATTGTCATATCGTGGTTTTGCCGCCTATAACTCCAGCATATATCACTGAAGGGGTGAACTGCAAGACGATCAAACACCCTTTGTGCACTCACAAAAGCTTTACAATTTTGCGCGCGCCCCGCCGCGGTGGTCTAGTGGCTAAGGTACTCGGCTGCTGACCCGCAGGGCGCGGGTTCGAATCCCGGCTGCGGCGGCTGCATTTCCGATGGAGGCGGAAATGTTGTAGGCCCGTGTGCTCAGATTTGGGTGCACGTTAAAGAACCCCAGGTGGTCTAAATTTCCGGAGCCCTCCACTACGGCGTCTCTCATAATCATATAGTGGTTTTTGGGACGTTAAACCCCACATATCAATCAATCAATTTTGCGCTGCATCGCAAGATTGCGTCAGTTATTTTCGAGCACACGTCACAAATCATCGACATGTGACTATCAAAACGGTTTCTTGCGTGGGAGGCGTGGCATTTCAACACAGCCGTTGTGCTCGCTAGCGTTCACACTTATCTTTATGGTGACCGTTAACTTACGACAGAAATGCAGGCCGTGGCATTGTCATGTATAAGTATAGACTCGGTGCTCCCACCGCGGGCCCTGCATGCTCGAGAACACGTGGCTGATGGCTGCCAGAAATGGAGAGCCGTCGTTCACTTATTGCGGTGCCTGATCGCCAACGTGGCACTGACAAAAGAACTAAATAGAAAACTTACAGAGATATGAGATAACTGGCTTTATCTTTCTGTACATTGTCCTACAAGTCGCCTTTACGTCAGCGTACTAGGACGCGTTATCTCAACGGATGTTGCACGTTCAGATACACTGATTCCAAGTTGGGTTTTTTTTTTTGTCCTCTTTGATTAATTTTCAATTATGCCGTAACTAACCACACTATATATGCAACTATAACTAATATTCCATACGCCTTTCTTGGCTTCATTGTACGTTGGCTTCGTTAGGCAGTGTCTAACGAAAAATTAGCTCTTGTTTTATTAGTCTTTCGTTCGTCGCATCACAATGGTTTATTTGAAACTCACGTGAAGAAATTTATTGATATTGATTGATATGTGGGGTTTAACGTCCCAAAACCACCATATGATTATGAGAGACGCCGTAGTGGAGGGCTCCGGAAATTTAGACCACCTGGGGTTCTTTAACGTGCACCCAAATCTGAGCACACGGGCCTACAACATTTCCGCATCCATCGGAAATGCAGCCGCCGCAGCCGGGATTCGAACCTGCGCCCTGCGGGTCAGCAGCCGAGTACCTTAGCCACTAGACCACCGTGGCGGGGCTTACTTGAAGAAAAGTTCCACTATACGTGTGCATTAATCTAGCACTGAATTGAAAGCTTCATTACTCTAGAGAACGCATACGTCCGGAAATTAAGAGCTGAGAGACGCATACGCAATCTCTCGGTCTCCCGCATCGAGTTTGTGAGCTTCAGTCGTTGATGTCATTGCTATTCTGTTTGCAGAGAAAGGCGTTTCGCTTGGTTGACAGAAAACATTTTGACAGTGTTTATGTCTCTAGTAGGATACGGGCTAGTTGGTGCACTTCTGGTATCAATAGTAAACTTCACGCCAAGATAACTACCACACTGAAATACTAAAGACATGCTGTCTATGTGTTTCTTCTGTGTCGTTATTTTGGCGCGAGGTTGACTATTCATTTGGCTTATGTCTCTTATAGGTTTCTTTCCCGGTGTGCCTGCTATCATCGCTGAATGTATATTTCATGCACATGCTGACTGGTCCCATGAGAATATCGCATGATAATATATCCAACAGGATCTGAGGCGACCAGCTGCATGCGAGGCGGCGATATTTTCCCGCATGTGGGTGCCACAGAATGCATGTCGGTTGTGCGGAGCGAAAGAACTGCTAACGCACAAGAAAGCAACGGTGATTATGCTTAGCTATATCCCACAGTTGTGAGCAAAGAAGCCAGTCATCCATGGCGTTCCCGTGGAGCTCTATCAAGACGGCGCACTCAAGTCACCGACCACCTGAGCGCCGTGGTCGTAGTAACAACGAGTGAAGAGGTTGCCTACCGAAGCACAGATAATCAGGCCCATTAATGCCTAGCTGTGTGTGGAGAAAAATAATGCGAGGACAGCGACTGTCGTACTGAAAACAAAGGTCCGCAGTGCAAGCTGATCCGTGCTTACCGACTTCAAAACTGTCCATGCGAAAAACGAAAGAGAATTTATCTATGAATGTGCTTCGCGGCGTCATTTCGTGGGTTCAACGACACAAAACTTCAAAAATTACGGTTAGGACACTGTATGGGAATTTCGAAACTTAAACTTAGGATATACGAATGGATGCAACATATTGCTGAAAAATCTCAAGGTGCGTGACCGAGCGCGCCGGGGTGATTACATGAGAACGGCGGCTTTATTACAGGTATCGAGAGTTTGCCAGGTTAATATAAAGCTCAAACTATAACGCATAACAATGCATTGGCAGGAGATAAGGTGAAAGATATAAAGAAAGATTCGCCATGTAGCCAAGCTTCTATGTATCTCAGGAGACTGCTGAAAAATCATGCATGGCAGGCGAACATAACTACGAGCTGAGTAATCCTCAACACCCGTCTGCCCTGACTGGCCAAATTACCCCAGAACTCTTCCATAGGGCATCTAAAAAAATCCATCATGAAAGGCACTGGAAGCTATAAAGAGACAGAGAAACGAATATAGACGGCGACGAAAACTGTGCAGTATACGACAACGCGCAGGGTAAACGTTTCTGCACCAGCATGTCCTATGTTCTGCTTGATACGCTCGAACTAAGCATTGCACAGTATGATTTAGCCTTTATTTCAGCGTCACACTGACATGCAGTCTTGCACTGAGCACGTAGGCAAACCGACCATCGACCGCCGGTGATAAAGATTTCTTTTTTTCTTCCCCCCTCCCTTTGTCTTGTTTTTCTCAAGGGCGGAGACCGAGAAAGAGCAGACACACACAAATAGGTCCATTCGCCGATCACATGCAACCGAAAGCCGCTTCTTCTCGGTCGGCAGGACGCCATCGAGTTTTGTCTCGGGCCAGTGGAGTGTGACAAATGTCGACAAGGGCCGCGCAGCCACAAAAGAAGCGACGAAACCACATGGCGCTGTAACAACAAAACTACAAGTAATAACGTTATAGGAAATAGCCAAGTGTAGTCAGTATACTTCGACGGGACAAGGACGACTTGCACCGTCTCCGAGGACGTACAAAGCCCGTTCCGCTTTCCGGACGTCATCTGAAGGCACGCAACCCGATAGGGAAGGAAGGAGCCAGCTACTTGAGCGCGCGCTCTCAGCCGCGGTCGTGAGTGTGTTCGGCCGGCCGACGAGGACCCGTAACGAAATGCTTTCCTGACATCCTGATCTCCGCCAAGGCGCCTTCTTCGTGGATTCATATGACTTGCTGTTTAGTTTTGTTCGTTCTTGTTTTGCCTCGCAGTGGACGCGTCGAGAGGAGAAGGCACGTGCTCCCAGCGAGGCTGTGAATCGGTTTACACGCCGCCCCCCAAGCCGGCCATCCCGCTCCGGCCTGATAAGGCCGATTGCGGAAACGGGGATGCCCTCTATCTGGACCCGGAGTCCGTCTCCTTATCGGCTGCCTGCTCTTTGTTTAGCGATGGCCAGCCGGAGCGGAGAACGAAGTTGCGCGCACTTTGCCGCACGCATGGGGCTCCGTCATACATGACAGTTGAGGACGCCGCGCCTTCTCCACCATGGCTCTGAGGTACGTGGCTCTTATGACCCCTCTATCTAAGCCCCTTCCTCTCCTCTTGCCTCTGCTTATTCGTATTGTGACTCCTATATATAGCTTCAATTGTCTGGCTTCTGATTAAGCAGTGCACTCACGACTCATTTTCGAATGACATGCAACGCTCCAAGGTGGCTGTGCTCGCAAAGCCACATGGCCGTGATGCGAGAGCAATCAGCCTTTTGCTGCGTACGCGCACACAAGCTGCAGTTTCAGTTGGTGCCCGCACTCCTATGCAGACTGTGTAATAAGTGGATCCGGGTTAGATTATGTTTCTTACAAAGCAAGATGGCCGTGGTTGTCGCTGTTAAAATTTTGGTTACCCGTTGTGCGCTCAGTGCTGATATCGCTTTTCTCGCAATGGGAGCGACCACGAACTGATCTGCTTGCGCAGGTGTAGCAGCGCGCTCGCTCTCAATCGAACTTCATGAGTGTAAAAGACTGCTCGATTGCTAATACCCCAGCAGGTTTCTATATATATATATATATATATATATATATATATATATATATATATATATATATATATATATTATATATATATATATATATATATATATATATATATATATATATATATATATATATATATATATATATATATATATATATATATATATATATATCATTTCTGCAGCTACATCAGACTATAGCTGTAACGCTTTCCACACATTATCCTCGCTTTTTCCTGTAACACCGCGTCTCATAATTACATGACTGCCTGGGGAGCAGCACTCATTTTTTTATTTCAACGTCTCATCATTGTCTTTAGTTTGCAGCAGTTCTTTCACGAGGTCGGTAAGGGGAGGAATTTTCAGAGAAAAATTTGCGGCATCTTCCTGTTCGTTACATCTTCCCTCTCTCGCACTATGACTGCAGATGATTGGGTCACTTCCACAATGAAGTCAATATTTTACTGGTGGCTTATCAGAGAACACGCTAAAGCTTTTCCAATGCATGGCGCCCACTGACTTACTGTTCCTTACAATCTTGTACAACAAACACGGCATATAGAATATCAGCATTAATGCTGACGTAGCCAGCACTGTACGTACAGCAAATTCGATTACTAGGCTAAACAGTCAGCCCGCGCAACTCAGAGTCACAATAATATACCAATTTTCTTTTTTACCATCGCAGACTGGCCAGCCCTGCACTGGTTTTGGCGAAAGCCTTGTTGCGGGAGGCGTCACGCAGCTGTCTAGAGCCGTCTCTGGTTGCTGGCTCGCGCCGCGAGGCGTCTTCAGCCTCGCTCAAGGAGCGCCTCACCCGCGACCTCGTGCTTCCGGTACCGAATGGTCAGTTGGCTGGCAAGCAGTGGGGGCCCGACGACGGACAGCCGGTCCTGGCGCTGCATGGCTGGCTGGACAACGCGGCTGTCTTCGAACCCCTGGTGCCGTTCCTCAAGGCCGAGTTCAAGCTGGTGGCTCTCGACCTACCGGGCCACGGCCTGTCGTCGCACCTTCCGGCCCGCGGTCACTACACCCTAGACAGCTACGTAGACGGCGTACTGTCGGCCGTCGACCACCTCAAGTGGGACACCTTCTCCGTGCTCGGCCTCGGAATGGGCGCGGGCATCGGGTACTACCTGGCCGCGCTACAACCGGACAGGGTTCCGCGACTCGCGTCTGTCGAGGGATCCTTCCCGGCAACGAGCCCCAGCTTCGAGCGGCGCGAGGGCGAAGACGATCGCGACTCGTACACGAGGCAAGAGGTCATGGACGTGCTGGCGTCGAGGGGACACGTCTCCGCATCGGCGCAACTGCTCATGGCCAGAGGTTGCAGGCGCGTGTCCGGAGACCGATACGTGTTCACAACCGATCGCAGAGTGAGGTGCGCGCGGCCGCAGGGTCTCTACCCGGGCGTGTTCGACAGGACGCTTCCGCGCTACAGGAACAATCTAATGGTGCTGCAGCGGGACTGCAGGCTCAGGGAGAGGCCGCACCTGGACGCCCTGGAGGCCATCGTGCGCTGCCTGGGCGCCGAAGAGTGCGCGCGCTTCAGCTATGTCGTGCTGGAGAGCGAGAAGAACGCGCACGCCATTTCTAATAGGGACACGGTGGCGAGCAGGGTGAACGAATTCATGTGCACATGACGCGCGCCTACGAACGAACTTTACAGAAATGCGGTATGTTGAATGACAATACGTTTTTTTTTTTGAACAGCAAAAAGATGCAAGCTAATAGCATACTGGGGGATTCTCTATTCCAGTATATAAGCTACGGAGGAAGAGAAGCTAAGATTGGCATTATCCAAGCTCATGTATATGCAATCAATACAAAAGATATAATAATAATAACAATGGCGTGAATGATCGGTATCCTGACAAGACTGACGTACATTGACGAGCAACACGAAGGGGAACACTATGCTTGTGTTTGAGCCACGATTACTTGTAATGTGCAGGTGGAAATTTGGCGTAAGTATCTGGAATAGTTACGTTTTCATTTAGCATCTGGTGTCACGAACACCTTGGCGCTTGACTGCGGTGCTTAGCCAATATGAAGTCTTGAAGGTGTTCCCTTCAGTGTTCCCTTTCATACTGCTCATGACCATACAAAGGGCAACACATGGCGATGTCTAATCAGTGTAATCAAGTTAAACAGACGCAATTTGCTAATGGGGTAGATAACGGCGTGAGGGGAGAATGGTATGGGAGTGTGCATATGTATGGCAAATTCACAGCACAACCGTCCATGCGCGTCGACGCTGCTTGGCTGCCCTGGACAGCCTGTTCCGCATGCTTGGTCTGTTTTAACTGTAGCTTTTTTTTTCATAGTAAATTATGTCTCTATAGAGACATTATGTCTCTGTAGAGACATTATTAGTATAATTATGTCTCTGTGAAGCATGCAACGTGTGCATACTTCACAGTATACCTGATATGAGGGCAATTATTGAAGGGTTTTGAAAGGATCAGTGAGACAAAAAGCTATACTTCGTAATCGCACTGATCGTGAACAAAGTAATGTTGGCACTTGGAGCCAAATGTGGACACTGACTGTTGAAACACTATTATTCTATAGAACAGACAAAGCGCTAGTCAGTCAAAAACACATCGAGTTATACTGTTCGAACATATGAACCATATTGTAGAGTTTTAATCTTGCCGAGGTGTGCAAGAAGCTCTGTTCCAGCTAACTTCCGTCCAAATCTAAACAGAAGGAAGATGAATCAAAATAATTAACACTTTATATCCTTAATCAAACGCCCACATGCGCACACGCATGACTACTAGGCAAAAATAATCATAAAAATAAAGTTTTGCGAACGTTAGCTGGGACACATAAAATATATTATTTGCCTATATTTACACGTAAAAGAGAGAAACCCTCGCTGAATTGCCAGAGGTAGCGCGAGTGTTCTTCCCCAAGAGAAGGAGGTACACTTTTTCAGGGCAACAAGGCTTTCTTGGCGAAGAAGGTTTATCACTTTACGTTTCTGCGATTCACTGTCGGCCAAAGCTCTGCCGTCGGTTATCTCAAATTTCTGTCATAAAGCAGCGGCCAATAAACGTTGTCGCTACTTAGGAAAGCGCTGACGTTCTGTTTATTTGTCTTCTTTATCCTGTAACCCTGCACGTCATACTTGAGGAGCGTGCGGTAAGACATGGAAAATATAAAACTACACCTAGGTACAGCACGCAAAAAGAAAGAAGTGGCCGGGATCGGTGCAGACCCCGTACACTTTTCTTCTTGTGCCCTGTATCTAGGCTCAGTTTTATGTTTTCCATGTCATGCTTGAGTATTTTTTTTTCGATTCACGTGCGATGTTACACAATACTCAAGTTCATGTCGCACATAAAAGCCGGGACAGGTCGTTTACATCATAGGTAACGTTGCAGTACAGTTATTTGTTGGAACTTTACAGCAATTAGGCATTTCTTGATCTCACGGTGCACAACTATTCACTAACAGAACACTGTACATAAAAATACCTGAAACCGTAGAAGGTCATACCTTAGTTCGAAAACTCACAAGTTTGTCGAAACAGCCTTGGAATTGGTGCCAGCACAACACCTGTATGTTATCCCATAGCTAGTAGTTTGCGATTGAGTCCGTAGCTGCGGGCGCTGTTACACGAGTTCAACTGAATATTCACTCACATGTGTGATGGCATCGACATGTAGGGGCTGAACTCATTTTCGAAACTTCTGTGGTGGAGCAGCACTCTCTTAGCGGTGTTTGGATAAGCTACCTCTAGAAATTACGGACGACAGACACATTGGTTTCTTCTATCCCTGAAGTTTTGGCTTTTATCTGTCAACAGCGTTTGTGGTCGTCATATAACTGTGTCATGTATTACACAACACGCCTTCAAAACGATTTCCGCGCTCGATTCAGACTTTGCGCACAACAGTAACGATCAGCTTTAAGTGGGCGGCAACAGCCGGAAATTCTTCACAACTCTTATGAAGCTCCAACAGCTAATGCGTCTGTTTGATACAATAATGGTGTATTGCGCGTAGCACCATTATTAGAGTCAAGGACACCTATATCTGCGGCATGTGTGCATATTCAGTGCAACGAACGCCTATACAATGTAACAATTTGTAGAACAAATAATTCCTTAAATCTGAGATCGCTTGAGGTGCCTGATAATTACAAGGAAGTTGTAAAGATTGCGCGTGTTTCTTAAGGCATCCGTCGCATCGTTATAAATTCAACCGACTGGTGTGCTCACATGTTACGGAAGCGCGCTTCTCCGCACTAATACTTTTATTGCGGTAAAGCCAGCTTCGACGATCTCAGACAGCTGGCGGAAGAAGCGAAATTTGTTGAGGTAGGGGGATCAACGTGCGCGTGACGTAGCCCTCTTTCCACAATGATTGGAGCAAAAAAGAGGCGTAGAGGAAAGTTAGAAAAATAAACAGTAATTTAATTAACGTTCTCGGGAGCGCTGCTCGCGCGCAGGCACTTTCGAACCTTATAACTTTTGGAAATATACAAAACACTTTCGAACCTAGTAGAACTCGTTGTTGACATAGTGTGTTATACATTCTCGAAGGTTAAAAAATGCCCAAAAATAAGACACTCTCGCAGGGAAAGGTATACACAGACAACGGTTTTTCCCCGTACCATTCCTTATAAACCTACTCTTTCGACTGTTCTCGCACTCTTCCTTGTGAGCGCGAAATTTTACGTTCAACTTTGAACCTGCTTCAAAGTTCGAATATGCACTGACTGTATTTTTCTTTTGCTAACAGCGAAGTGTTCTTTTCTTCAATGAATATACGGGGTGTTTTTTTAAGCAATACAGACTTTTCTTCGAAAGCTACAATAGCTAGGCACTTGTCTTCTCAGCCAATTTCTAGACCGAGTCGGAACAATTTTGTCACTCATTTTGTCAACAATTTTGTCACACAGAAGTGATTATTTAACAAAAGTATTCTAATTACATTTTTATTATCAATTTTATGGTGATTGTTTATATGACGAAGTTGTTGAATACGTCACAAATTGTGGCGAGCCTTGTTTTAAAAACTCGAAAATATCACACGTAGTTTCAGAGATTCGTTGTCGAATTTCCAGACCACAATGCCGGAGAAACCTAAATTTAACGCGCCGCACTGGGTTCTTCGGAACTGTGGTCCCTGGGCTTCTTTTTACGAACTTTGTTTTACGCAATTCGAATGATGGCGCGTCACGCAACAGTCTCGCTGTGCGCGAGAAGCTGTCATCGTAGCCGTAGAGTTTCCTAAAATTAACTAGAGGGGACTATGTTGCTGCGATCGTTCAGCGACCATGGGAATGATGGCTAAGACACACAATTGCCTAGTATTCGTACTTGCGGGTGGCGAATCGTACTTGCGGCTTCGTTTATTGCTGTGTTCTGGTTTTGTTTGAAAGAAAGATTCAGCCCTTTCAAACTTCGTGACCCGATTTGGAAAGGTAAGTCTAAAAGAATAACTTGGTGAAGCGCAACCGCTGAACATTTGCTGATTTTTGTTTCGAGAAGAAACAACTCCAAGCCACACGAACACACACGGAGCCAGAAGCAGGCCAGAAGTACGAAGATTCGAGAAATCCGTGTACTACCCATCATTCCCATGCTCGCTGAAGCGCCGTGCGTTGCAGCTCCCATAGACACTAGCGCCAGAGTTCTCTCTAGTGTATATCAGGAAACTCTATGATCGTAGCAAACGGGTGTCGCTGACCCAAGGTTGCGCTACGATCACTTCACCTTCGATGCAGAGAGATTGACGTCGCAGAATTTTTCTGTAGAAGAATTGCCGGTGATTCCAATTTCACAGTATCAAGAACGGGAACATTTGACAACCCACCGCCCTCACGTGATCCCCGTATGGAATGCCAGTTTTCTGTGGATGAGCTAGAGGCGGCACTGGCACTGTGCAGACGTTCTTCAGCAACCAGACCTGACGGCATTACCTATCGTGCCCTTTGTAATCTTGGAGATTAAGCTCGGAAGGCACTCTTACGCCTATACGACTCCTGGCAGACTGGTATGGTTCCCCAGGCATGGAAGTCAAGTCGCCTCATTCCACTTCTAAAGGCTGGTAAATCTCCTTTGGATATTGCCTCATACCGTCCTATCGCACTTGCCAGTTGTGTGGGAAAAACGATGGAACGAATGATTCTAACACAAATGGAGTGGTATTTAGAGCACTACGAAATCTATCCAGAATCCATGACCGGATTCAGGCGCGGCCATTCGTCAATCAACAACTTTCTTCATCTGGTGACATATGTTCAACACCACAAAGCCTGTAAGAGACTGTGCGCCGCCCTGTTTCTGGACGTTAAGGGGGCTTACGACAATGTCACCCATGAAGCCATCCTTAGTGCTTTGGAAACAGTAGGTCTTGGTGGCAAGATATATATGTGGGTGTACAGCTACTTACAGCTGAGATCATTTTACGTGATGACAGCGAATGGCCCAACACCTGATTATTACAGCAGCCGAGGAGTTCCTCGGGGAGGAGTGCTAAGCCCTACACTTTTCATCCTAACTTTCATTGGTCTAGTCGAGCAGCTACCTAGCACTGTAGAACTTTCTGTCTATGCTGATGACATCTGTACTTGGACATCAGGTGTGACAAGGCCTCAGCTTCACGCCCGCCTTCAGAAGGCTGCTACAACGACGTCATGCTACCTTCGTAAACAAGGCCTCGAGGTGTCCTGCG